ATATAGACCTCCCAATCTTGATAGAGTCAATGAGCGACTTATCTGGGATGAAATGCGTAGGGCTTTCATACACAACAAAGTCTGTATAGTAGGCGACTATAACCTTGGCCAAATAGATTGGACTGACCTTGTAGGTAACTCAGAATCAGAGGATTTTCTCGAGACGATCCAGGACTGTTTTCTAAGTCAACATATAACCGAACCCACCGGGGGTAATAATATACTCGATTTAGTTCTGTCAAACAGAGAAAACCTCATTAGCAATGTCGAGGTAGGGAACGAACTTGCAAACAGCAATCACAAAGAAATTAGATTCCAGTTAGATTTTCAGGGCAGACGTAAGGAAAATTCCACTAAAGTACCAGATTTCAGAAGGGCAAACTTTGACAGTTTAAAGAGGCAGCTGAGAGAGGGGGTGTCGCACTTGGCCGTCAACCTGACAGATGACACCGACCAGATAACGAGATCTGAGATTGCCGAGTTCCACGACAATTTAAATAGTGAGTTACTTCATGCACAAAGGCAGAACATACCATACAAAAAACTCAGATCAGACAACAATGACCCTAAATGGATAAATAATTATTTAAAGAACATCATTGGCCAAAGGAAGGCTATAGGTAGAAGGGATTATTATAGGGTATTGGCGAGTAGGGTTAAAACCGAGATAAGGAAAGCCAAGAGGAATAATGAGGTAAGGATAGCAAGGGAGGCGAAGACAAACCCCAAAGGATTCTACCAAATGTATCAAACTAAAGCACGAGAAAAGATTGGACCAATATGGTCAGACACCGGCGAGCTCACTGATAACGACAGAGAAATGAGCAATAATTTGAATAAATATTTTTCAACAGTTTTCACCACCGAAAATTTAAACATGATACCCGGGGCATCGACTTTATTCAGAGATAGTAGTGACTAGTAACGATGTTAGTAAGCAAATAGACAAACTAAAGCCTAATAAGTCACCTGGTCCCGATGAGATATTTGCCAGAGTATTAAAGGAATGTAAGGAAGAGCTTAGTATGCCCTTAGCAAAGTTGTTTAACATGTCATTAAAAACAGGTGTAGTACCAGAATCCTGGAGGATAGCGAATGTAATACCGATTTTCAAGAAGGGGGATAGATCACTATCCTCTAACTACCGCCCAATCAGTCTAACATCAATAGTAGGCAAATTACTGGAAGCAATCATTTCAAACTCTATTTGAAATCACCTGGAGAAGCACCGATTGATCAATGATTCCCAGCATGGCTTCACAAGCGGACGTTCATGTCTAACTAATCTATTAACATTCTTTTCATCAGTTTTCGAATAGGTGGACGAGGGGCACAATTATGATGTGGTATATCTCGACTTTAGCAAAGCCTTGGACAGAGTCCCCCACGAAAGACTAATTAGAAAAGTAGAAGCACATGGCATCAAAGGTAATATCCTTAAATGGATTAGGGCGTGGTTACAGGACAGCAGAGTGAGCATTAATGGCACTAAGTCCCATTGGAGCAACGTCACAAGTGGAGTTCCCCAAGGCTCAGTACTTGGACCATTATTATTTATTATATACATAAACGACATAGATATCGGCATAGACAGCAACATAAGCAAATTTGCTGATGACACTAAAATAGGACGTGTTATTAAATCTGACGAGGACTCCACAAAACTACAGGAAGATCTAAAAAAATTTTTCGAATGGTCTGAAAAATGGCAGATGAAATTCAACGTGGACAAATGTAAAGTACTCAGTATAGGAGATGTAAACAGGGAAACCAGATACCAGATGAACAACGATGCCATAGAGAAATCCGACTGCGAGAGAGATTTAGGAGTAATGATAAGTAGGAACCTTAAGCCAAGTAAACAATGTGTTTTTGCTTGTAACAAGGCTAATAAAGTACTTGGGTTCATACAAAGGAGTGTTTGTTACAAGACTAGCGAGGTCATCCTAAAACTGTATCTTGCTCTTGTGAGACCACACCTGGATTACACAGTTCAGTTCTGGTCACCGTATTACAGAATGGATATAGAATCCTTGGAAAGAATTCAGAGGAGAATGACAAGACTAATCCCGGGCATTAGGAACCTTGAGTATAGAGACAGGTTAAAGCATTTTAATTTGCACTCCCTCAAGAGACGTAGAGCGAGGGGCGACCTGATAGAGGTGTATAAGTGGAAGGCAGGGCTAAACAAAGGGGACATTACAAAGGTACTCAAACTATCCAACCAGGAGCAAACTCGTAACAATGGTTTTAAATTAGACAAAATTAGATTTAGGCGTGAAATAGGTAAACACTGGTTTGGAAACAGAGTAGTGGATGAATGGAACATGTTACCAAATATCATCATTAACTCGAATACGCTGAATAGCTTCAAACATAGGTTGGATGCTTATATGAGCAATAGGGGTTGGGTGTAAACGGGACTGCACAGTATGGGCCAATAGGCCTGCTGCAGTTTCCTCCATTCTTATGTTCTTATGTTCTTCTTCAACCTCAAGCTGTGACTCCTTGTGGGGCGGGCGTCCGCCAGCTTCAGGTATGGACATTCGACTGAGTAGTGCCCTTTGAGATATTTATACACCTCAATTAGGTCTCCCCTTGCCCGTCTGTAGTGTAAGTTAAGCAGTTGTAGGCGCTTTAATCTCTCAGGGTAGCTGAGGTGCCGAAGTGCAGGCACCATTCTGGTGGCCTTCCTTTGGACATTTTCATTCAACTGACAGTCCCTAGCATATCTCGGGGACCAGACGGGATGACAGTACTCCAGATGGGGAAGCCCTTCACTCCTGAAGATCGTTACGACGATCGTTCAGATATCTAGACGGTCCGTCTAGATATCTGAACGGCCTTTTTGTAAGACCTAATAAATTAGTTAACTGATTTTGAAAGTGGAGAGAGAGAGTGGTTGAGGACGAATATACGTCCCCGTCTGGATTATTGTACAGGTATATACAGTGCAGACATCGAAATCCAACCTCCAAAACAATCAAACATCTCTAGAAAAGGTGCAACACAGAGCGACTAAGATGATTTAGGAACAATGTCATTTCGATTATCCAACTAGACTGAGGGCTTTAGGACTAAATAGTCCTACAGACAAAACAGAGTAGGGCAAACTTCACTGAAACCTTTAAAATCCTAAAACAGGGTGGAAAGCGTGAACCAGAGCCATTTCTTTGTGATGTTATGCCGCGATGGAACATCTACTACGAAACAACCCTGTAAAGGATTGCCAACACGGTTTTATGCAGGGGCGCTCCTGCTCAACACAATTGCTCAAGGTATTGGAAATTTGGACCCATATTCTGGAACGGGGTGGTAATATCGACAATATTTACCTAGATTTTGCCAAGGCTTTCGACTGTACCCCACGAAAGGCTGAAAATCAAACTGGAAGGGTACGGAATTCGGGGAAATGTCCTAGCGTGGATAGAAGACTTTCTACATGACCGCAAGCAGTGTGTGGTGATTAATAGCACGAAATCATCATCCTTACATGTCACAAGTGGGGTGCCACAGGGCAGTGTATTGGGCCCGCTGTTGTTTGTTTGTTTGTTTCATAAATGACATGCCTGACGTTGCACATTCCTCCATACAAATGTTTGCCGATGACTTTTACTTTTATCCTCTTCGCCACTGATCGGCTCGCTAGCCGCCCGGGCGATCTGTCACGTCTCTGTCACGCACTGTTGGCAAATACTGGGCATGCACCGGCTCCTGAATGTACCTGAACCCGCTCCAGTGTTGGTCAAGTCTTGTCTTGAAAGAGCTCACATTCGGTGACGTCACATCACTCTCTGGTAGATTGTTCCAAGAGTTTACAACCCTCACTCCAAAAAAGTTTGCCCTCACGGTTTTCGGGAAATGAAGAACCAAGCGGACTGTGAAGAGCTGCAGAAGGACCTCTGTGGGCTCCAAGAATGGTCGAAGAAATGGCTGCTGAGATTCAATGTCACGAAGTGTAAGAGGATGCACCTGGATCGTACCAATGGTAAGGAGGCGTATCATATGTTCTAACGGGATGAAGAAACTGCACTATTTGAGACTGAATGTGAGAAGGACCTAGGTGTGTATGTTGACAATGAGCTGAAGTTCTCGGGCCATTGCGAGAAGAAGGTAAATCAGGCAAATAAATTATTGGGTCTTATAAAAAGGTAGTTTAGATATCTAGACGGTCCGTCCCTCGTAACAATCTTCAAGAGTGAAGTGCTTCTCCATCTGGAGTATACTGTCAACCCGTCTGGTCCTCGAGATATGCTCAGCCCCCACCCCTCCAGCTGGGTGGTCTCTCTGCGCTCGCCATGTTCCTCCACCCACAACTTCTTGGACCTCCCTTTTGATATTCCTGGATCCGCCCCTGTCATGTGTGGATGAAGTAGAAACAGAGGCGTTTAAATTAACAAAAAGCGTACGAGGGTCTAGTTTAAATGCAAAGGAAGGTATGATTGAGGTGCAGGATCATGGGAAAGGATTCCATGCAGGTTCATCCAGTGTATTTGGTAATGGTTTTCGTTTATATCTTGCCATACGATGAATAACTTTATTTTTCTGAGTATATTTCCACGTGTATTGCCATGCAACTTCTTATCCGATATTAAAAAAAGAAAGAATTAATGTGGTTCAAAATTACCGCTAAATGTAATAGAAATTCTAGCCTGAAGATGGCAGAGCTGTTTGTTTTGAAGTAAATATATAAAATGATAATCAATATAGTTTGACAGATGATATTCATAGTGACATAATACCCAATGTATTGGCTTATATTTGTGTTGTGAAAAGTGATGAAATTCCATCTGGGTAACGAAAACAAACAATAATAACACTGATTTTGTCAAAGTCAGTCAGTCTATGAATAGAAACAGGAAGGCGCTCTTGAGGCTCATGAAACGGATATTGTGTCCTACCTCAGTAGTCAGTACGCCTCTGGACATGTTCAGGTGTGGTTAATGTAAGTGTATAGCAGCTGTCTATTTTTAGTATGAATTGCGTTGCAGTACCACTAAGTCTATTCAGGGCTGTACCCTGTAACGATTGGATCTCGAACATTCAAGATGAAAGTTATTGCACATCAAGGTGTAATTATACTGTACCCATCTTTTTTCTTTTATATACCGTATTACACTTTTAAGGTATATTGTATATGTTGAATGAATGATTTTTTTGGGTAATGGAGCGAATGTTAAGTGTAGAAAAGGGTTGCCACTATTTCTTGGCAACTTTATTTCAGGACTTTTGTATATCAGTATTTGAACTAATATTAGATAGCTTTAATGCATCGAATGTTACCAGTGGGGGAAACAAGAAAAAATGTTTGTGAAGGGAGGTTATTCTTAATTAGACTAACAGGTAGGATAACAGTTCATAATTGGTAATCACTATAATGCCCATAATGCTGAACCATTTCTGACAGCAGATGATATGAGCCAGCCAATGCTAATCCTGTATAACCAAAGCTAGCATAATGGTTAAATTAGTGTAAATGTGAAGGAACAGGGGCTCACCCATCACATTTTTAGCCATAATCAAGTGTAAAAAGAAAATATTCAAAGTTACAAATTACTCAGTACCAGTATAGTCATATTATATACAGAAAAGATTGAGAAAAGGTGGAGCCCATAGGCATCATTGCTCATAATAGACAGTGTGGATACAACATACAGTACTGTGTACTAGGCCTTTAGTAAGCAAGGAGGCAGCATGGCCAACACGGTATTTGACTGCCTTCAGTAAATATTTGTTTAATGGTTGTGGCTTCTCTTGTTGTGAGAAGTTTTTTTTTTTGTAGATTTAGGTGTTTTACTCAAATCTGACCTAAATACACCCAAAAACAATTAATAAAAAAATGTCAAACTTTCAAATCACTGTTGAAATCTGACCAAACCTACCTAACTTAACCCAACCTACCTTACCTAACCCAACCTAATAACCAAATACAAAAATCTTGCTGCAGTCATTAAACAAATATTAACCCTGCCTTCTCATCCCCGACTTTGTACAGAGTGCTTGCAAAGCGGGGTGTTTAATGTAGGACCATGTGTTGGTTAGGTTACCTAGCTCTTACATTAGATAAATGGGGTACCTGACTACATACTTATTTAATGCTGAGTGGACTGGGAGTTCCTTGTGGTCAAATTAGTGACCCTTAGGACAAGAGGCAAGTGCTGTATTCTCTTGGCTGTTGCACTCCACAGAGAAGAGTGTCAGACAATTATTCACAATTTCTGATATGTGAAACCATGGTATTGTATCAAATGTGAAAGTTGACATGAACTAAATCTGACCTAACTATCTTTAGGTTAGGTTGCTGAGATTTGGCTTGCTTGGTTCTTGTTATATACTCTCAGAAAGGGTTTAGTGCCACAGGTGTTATAGCAATCTTTGAAAGGTGAATTATGCTGTTTTCCTTAGAAGAGATTTTTTTTTTTTTTTAAATTTGCTTCTTTTTCTCTGTCATATACTGTACCAAATTAGCATTCTAGGCATTAAAACAAATATAATGGAGAACACCCAGTCCGAAACAATGTAAGAATCAAAGTTGGGCTCCATCTGTTTTTATATTGTACTGTACTTTATAATGCATATGTTCTAATGTTAATGTTTTTACCGCATAGGATTCTGAGAACTCTTGTGTTATATACACCAAATATTTTTTAGGTAATACAGTACTGTACCAGTAGCTAAATTTAACAATCAGGACTGTATATAGATAATGTACAGTATAGTAACAGGACGTACATGCCTGTAATGAACTCGTGAAAATCAAATACTGTACAGTATTGTACAGTATTTACCAAAATAATCCTCTCATTTAGTAGAATCCATTTCAAGGTTTGAATTGCTATTTCCGTTAATTTGAATATACTACCGTACTTATATGATATAGCAAGTACTGTATGCTATAGCATCTACACTTAAACATTTCAGCAGATTGACAAAAAACTTTATAAGCTATGTACTGTACTGTACAATTTTAGCAGGAATGAACGAACAACTGAGTGATATCTACAGTATACAGTTTTGCATTATTCTAGTTCTGCAGTACTATACTGTACTCAGTTGTTTGTTCTTATTGCAATCAGACACAGTTCAACAATGGTTTTTGTCAATTCATCAAAGCTACAAAGACACAGAGTCCTTGTCTTATTTTCTATTTCATGGGAATAAATTAATGGAAATAACAATGATGGATATTTTTGTGTAGATTTTATGTCCTAAGTTATTAAATTAATGAGTGTATTTAGTTTAACATGATTTGTACCGTTTGGTATTATAATAATAATTCGTCCGTTTTGTGTGCCTAAACTAGCTATTTGACACACTTGTTTTATAGAGTAAAGTTTTTTCATTACTTTAAGAAAATTCCACATCCACTTTTAGAGCTTTCAATTTATTTTTATATTAATTTTGTTTTTCTTGCTTCAACCTTGCCCATCTTTTAAAACATGCAAATCAAACCAACCAAACCCTTCCTAAGCTTAACCTAGGGAGACTTATCTTACATCACAAAAAATAACTTAGAATTACAGTGTTGAGTTAGGTATGGTTGGTTCATCTCATCTCTTAATTGGTTTATAGCTGTCATTTGTAAATAAGCAGTCAGTGCTGTTTCATGTACGGAAGCTTAACGTGTCAGTCTGATGTCAAATTCATTTTACCGAAAATTATGCATCGAATTCTTTTAAGCTACCTCAAATTATGTAGAGTATAGATGCTAACATTGATTCAGCCCCCCACACACATACACACACAAAAAAAGAGAGTGATAAATTAAGCCTTCAAACTACTACACAGTTTTCCTTAAATTAATGATAGCAAATAAGTACAATGAAGATAACAATTTACTTAGTGATTAAAAGTATGGCTTCTTTAGCAGGTGATCTGCTGATGATCTTCTGTAATTCCTCACACAATACAATAGTGAAACTCATGCAGTAACTCTTGACATACAGTACTTTGAAACCAATCCTTACTTACAATATTGGTTTTCCTATACTGTACTTTCTTCTTTTCTATCCAGTCATAGAGTGCAGTACCAGTTATATACAAGAGATACTGTACTGTACTCTACTATGCTTTGGATGATTTTTTTCTTTAACTATTACTCTATCAAATTTGGGGTTCCTTGGTGATGTAGGCTAGCATTAACTCTTTTCTTATTACATATACTGTACGTATATTAATGATCTTTTACTGATAAACAATTGTATTGTATTCATTCCTATGCAGATGACTTAACCCTTCATAGATCCTTCACTTTAACCCCTTCATTATGGGGAGTGCCACTTTTAATATTCATTTGTCTAACACCAGATGATTTCATTTGGCACAGAGAGAACCCCATTCACAAGGGGTTAATAAACTATCGCTACTAACTCCTTCACTGTGGGACACCATTTTTAATATTTATTTGGCTAATGCCAGATGATTTTATTCAAACCAGAAACCTCCATACATACAGTGTTAAGTGCCTTAATCTCCCAAGATTATAATTTTAACGGCATACAACTGACATCATCATTCCTACAGGAAAATTTCATACTCATAACTGGATGGGATGCATCCACCCTGGTTACCTTTAGTTCTCTTAAAATAAAATATATAATACATATACTTGTACAGAACCTGGTACCCTGTACTTGTATAGTATTTAGTAATACTGTAGGTTGGTATGGCATTGTACAATTTAAAATGAATTTTGACAACACCATCATACCCTCACCATACAGCATTGAGATTTTTGGTGTTATCCAAATCATATCAAGGCTTACCATGACAAAGTTTGTTTTAAATTTAGCTAAAATTACTTCAGTGAAGCTTGAAATAAACCATGCTTAATTGATTAACAGCTAGCAACCCTTTATGTAAGCCATGTGCAGTCCTAGGTGCTGGGCTGAGTATAATGTGGCACTTCATTTCCTGATTTTGGTTGTAAATCCATCAAAGCTACCAACAATAATGACCTTACCATAAAATTTCCACTGTTGCACATTCATAGGGATATCAAATACATGTACTGTACCTTAAATCTTTGACAACAACACTATTCTTATCCCCCCCCCCTACTGCTTTTTATTTACATACTGTATTATAGAAACTTTAGATTGTTATCACTCTTTCTACTCTGCCAGCTTATTATAAGGTGCTAAACTGGATGGATTCTGCAACCCAAGATGACAGTGGAGGAGGCAGAAAGATGGGCCTGGCACGGCTGGCAAAAACACGCAACTTGTCAAACAGTTTGAACAGCCTTCAGATGATGGATGGAAAACAAGATGAGAAAGATGGTAAGATTCTTGAGATACAGTACATTGTTTTGCAAACCAGCTCTTCATTGTTACATGGTCATAGGAACTAGTGAATCACAAACAGAGCTGAAAAATTTACTTCAAAGTTCAAATGGAGTCTTCAGGGTTTTAGTTTTTTTAATTTTGCATTAGTTACCGTATAGACCTCTAGATGTACATTATACAGTACTGTACTGTGCATATACCCAGTGGTTTGTTTGTGGTGGATTGTTCCACAGGGATGTTCCACTTGTTCCAGTACTTTTTAAGAAAATTTTACAATTTTTGTAAAAGTGATCGCTACTGTAGTTGATACAGAAAATGTTTATTTTTTCTCTCAGAGATATGCTCTTTAGAATTAAATATTAAACATCCTTTATTTCAATAACAGACCAGTATTATAAAATATGAATATTTTAAACAAATATACAGTACTGTATGTGCACTAATCTCATCATAATTTTGTGCATTCCACTTCATTTTTATATACAAATTGACCACTGCATATAACTATGCTTAATCTAAGTAATTGCTATACTGTATTGTACTAAACAATGTAACTCTTGCTTTGCACCTTGCACTGCCTTTGCTTCCACTATAGTATGAAACTCCCCTTTTCTGGCCTATATTCTTTAACCAAGTGGGTCTCATATTACTGTACAGGCTACTTACTGGGGTTCAACGTATGCAGATGACCCTCCCCCCCCTCCCACAATACCTGCCAAGGTTAAAATCTTAACCCATTTTGGATAAACCAATCCCCCTTCCCATTCATTGCACCTATTATTTTAAATGGTGGAGATCAGATGCAACAGTTGTCTTCTGCAGACAAGGGGTCTGTTTGAGCTGTGACAATCAACATGCTACTTGGTATGTGCCAGACCTATAGCACTGCCATTTTTAATCTTCTATTGTACCTAACTGATCACTTTATACTCATATACTGTAAAGTGAATGTTCTAGTCTGGCTCTTCCCTGACCTATTATTTATTTCTACAAAAGCTAAGTATTGATGTCATCTATGATAGGAACTCCCACAGTTCTAGGTGCTCTGTTTAAGTAAGAGTGCAGTTTATTAGTGTTGTGCATATTGTTGCAAGGGGTTTGTTTATATGATTCACAATTTTGTGGGTAGCTGGTGAGTTAATAGCAGGATTGACACCACTTGACACCATGTCCTAACTTTAAGGTGCCATAACTCAGCCTGTCTTCAGAAGTTTTATTCCAGGTATGGGATCTTGCCTAATGCCACAAAAGAAGATGTTCTGGTTTCCTTGAAAGATATAATCTGGAATGGAATTTCAGTAAATTTACATTTTTGGAACATTCTGTTTTAGGGGTTGCTGTGTGCTTAATTTGCTTGATTTTTGGGGCATATGGGAATCCTTAAAGGAATGTGACATTTAGGCTTGCTGAACTGGGTTGTTCAGTGGGGGTAGTTGGGTTGTTATTGAATTCTTCCCCTAAATTCCGAGGTGTCCCTCATAATCCATTGGATTTTGTTGTACTGTAAGGACTTGCTCTGCTTATTGCCTATGTTATAAATGCTTTCCTTGAATGTTTATCACCAAATGATGTACAGTACAGCTGATCCAAAAAGTATCAAGTCCCCAGGGTCCAGTGGAATAGACACATTCATGTATTGGTTGGGTTGATTTTCCCTTGATGTTTCATATTCTTTTGGATGCCTGGGGTCTTGATACTCTTTTGGATTAGCTGTATATCTTGCTTTTCACTCCAACCAAAACATATGCATATTGCAGGTTAGATATGCTGTAGTTACATTATTTCTTGGTATGGGAAGGAGATTTTATGGGTCTAACTACACTTCGTCCATGTTTTGGTTTTTCCTTGGTTTGGGGAAGACATGGCACAGAAGAATGTCTGATGCCTCTTTTTTATGCGGTTTTGGGTCCTTGCCTTTGTCTTTTTATGATGACAGTAATAAGTATGCTTAAAAAATCTGCTAAATTGAATTCATGTATACCAAGCATGTCACTTACAAAACCAAGTTGTGGTGGAAATGTGAGAAAAGATCCAGTGGCCGCTGTCAGGGCAGTATATCCACAAACTCTGCTTCATTACTTGTACAAATTCTGTATGCCTGTAATGTATTGTTGATCTATGGAAGTCGTGTACAGTGTATTGTCAATTAACAACCACCTTAAAATATTTTTGGCTTAATTTCTTTACTTGTTAATGGTATTTAAATAAAGTGTGACCTTTTTCCGAGCAAATTTTTATATTTTTTTCTGACACTGCCTATGAATAGGCATTTAATAATTGGTGAATGAGTCTTCGCCTTTAAAACTGTCCTTTACTTTAATGATCCATTTCCTTTATTCTCTGAAGTTCTTTGCTAAAATTCCTATATTTGTTATCATACTGCTAACAAGAGTTTCTCTGATTTATTTTTCCAAATCCCAGAATTTACTAATGATTCAAACATACTAATATCATCCTCTCCATCAGCGACATCTTCATTTCCTACAGTTATCCTTATCACCCCAACCCAATCGTCCATACATCCCCCAGACCTCAACAGTCTTCACGACACCCAGAGATCACTTGACCCATTAAGTGATGTTCAAGCATCACCTGTGCGAAATCTTAGTAAGCAGAGCGCCACGGTCAACCTATTGCCCAACAAGATGAATGTGTCGGAGCTAAGTGGACAACAACCAACTGATCGAAAATGCAAAAGTGTTAATATGGAGGAGGACTTGATGTCACTGGACTCTGTTGGGCACGCTCATGTTCCATGCAGTGATCCAGATTTTATTCGGAATGCAAAATCCGGAGTAAGAGCAAACCAGTGCAGTCCAGATGTAAAGGTTATAACTACAAGTGATACAGATCTTTCCAATGTGAAGAGGGGTGAGAATACATCTAATGTCACTCCTAAGTTATCTTCTCTACGACTCTCTCGCCGTTCCCGCCTGGCTCCACCACAGGTCAAGCGATCAAGTTCTATGACTCGTCTTACAGAAGCTATTAATCAGATACACAATTTGTGTGTTTTTCCAGCCCACCAAGTTCCCACGGCTCAAGTAAGTTTTAACAGCAATTTTCTTATGATTATTTGAAATAAATAACAAATTTTGTTACAGTATATGAAAGACTTTATTTCTAACAAATTTACTTAAAGTTGATATTAGCAGACTTCAAATGGAGTTTGAATAGAGTACAGCATGCCCTGACAATTCGCAGATTTTTAATTCATGGACCTTGATTATTCACGGATGACACCCTGGACGTACCCAGGAATGTCTAAGGGTAGTTTTAAAGTAGCTGGCATTTTCGCGGCCGGGACAGGGATCCATTCGTTCTAGAGACAGTAATTTTTTTTACCTTTATTGTATATATATATATATATATATATATATGTGTGTGTGTGTGTGTAGACACACACACACACATATATACTCTAATACTGTATAGGTAAAAGAAATAATTGTCCTTTGGGAAACACAAAGAGAATAGACATTTCTTTGTACACAAGTAAAAATGCAAACCCCCCACCCCCCGTCAGCAAATGTTATTTGCGGATTTGGCTATTCGCGGTCACTTTGAGAACCTAACCCCCGAGAATTTTAAGGGCATGCTGTATATATTTACATACTGTATCGCATAAAATTTTCACATTTCACTTTTGAGGACAAACTTTCATGTGACCCATTATAACTTATTCAGTAGTTTGGCTTCTTGTTATTATTTTTTTTTGTGATGGTCTTCTTCTATATGCTTGATATCGTGATTTATTAAAAATTTTGAGAATGTATTACAGTACTTTTGTAGAATTTAAAAATAGATTTGTGAATACAATACAGTAATAGAGCATTATTAAAATTTCATGCTTGCAGTATTGACAGTGTAGTTTTGTGTAAATATTTGTAGAATGTAAATCAAGGTAGGTAGATACCAGGTAGCCTCACGCAGGCCCATAGGAATTCACTAATTGGCAACTCTACTCTCGAGATCGCTAAGCCACGCCCCTTTTGCCACTTCATGCGTTTGTAATATTGAGGTATTGTTATCTGCTTCTACTGTTTGATGTAATTAAGTGGGCGGAGCTTAATAAGTTATGTCATCGCTAGCCAATCAGCGACGTTGGGTGGAATCCAGCGGTCGCAAGCGTCGCAAATAAGATATTTATATTTATTTTATATATTTAATCAGTGGCACCAATTAAAATTAAACAAAAAATCTCCATTCCATACATTTATTGTACAACTTTTAATACCATCATAAGCCTTCAAAAATACGTAAATAAAAATATCATATTTATTTTCATTAGCTTATCCTATGGGAGTGAGGCTACCTGGTATCTACCTACCTTGATGTAAAGCATTAATTTAGTTTAGGAGAATGCTAACACTGAAACAGCATGATCAGCATTTGGATGAAAGCAATTATCAGTCAAGTATATTACAGCTGTAGTTAGATAGTGTTGGTAATGAATGGTGTGATCAAGTAAAACAAAATATAATATCCTTAGCTGTGTGATATGGCAATTTATTTTTAGGTTGAGACCTTTTGTGAGGCATCTTTCATTCATGTGCGAGCCAGTTTTGGAAGCCTGGCCATCATTTCATGCTTCCTTTGATAAATGGGGTTAATCTCATGATCACCCATTTTTTCCATGAAACCAATGCTATCAGAAGAAGATTAAATGTAACTGTACCCCTGTATTGTAGAGGCAGGAGGACTAATTAGAGTAAAGCTACCAGTCAGTACCACTCATGTCACTTTTGTAGGCTGCCAACTTTTAATTCAAGGTCAGCCTGCTCACTGAGAGTGGTCTAGTACAGGGTAACACCAACTTTGTGCTCCATTATGACACTTCAGGGATAGTTTTTGAAGAATACACCACACTGTGAGTGATACAGGGGTATTTCATTTATAAATCAGCAGGAGGATTCAGATGGTTTTTAAGCCGAAGAAGAAATCTTTCATTTTAATGTTCTTCCTTTTGGTTTGAAAGAAACTATGAAAGTACTGTATTCATAAAACTGTCTTGAATTAGATTTTGAATGAAATGAAGTGGCTTATTTAGTAAAGAAGACACATGATAAGTACAGATAAATCAAGATAGGGGGTATCATCTGATTACAACAACTTATGTGATGTTAATAAATGACACTTTTTTGGAGGAGAGGAAATGGTGCATGTTGTGTGATTTATTCTAGATCAAACACAGAGCAAAGCTTCAGAAGGGCATATGACTTGAAAGTACTGTAGTTCCCAGAATGCACAAATAAAAAGGGTGATATGATGTATGAAAGTAGGCTGAAAGTATGTACTGTACTGTACCGTAACCATATCTAATATGATGATGTATCCTTGGGATAATCCTTTTTCTGATCTCCCCCCTCTGAGGGTGATGATTATGACAGGAAGGGATGGGTGATTATGAAATAAACCCCCCAGTTGTCAAAAGGGGAGGACTATATACAGTATATACAGTATATATATATATATATATATATATATATATATATATATATATATATATATATATATATATATATATATATATATATATATATATATATATATATATATATATATATATATATATATATATATATATATATATATATATATATATATATATATATATATATATATATATATATATATATATATATATATATATAATATATATATATATATATATATATATATATATATATATATATATATATATATATATATATATATATATATATATATATATATATATATATATATATATATATATATATATATATATATATATATATATATATATATATATATATATATATATATATATATATATATATATAAGTGACTGTTTACGAACACCTGGATGCTATAATTTCGATTAACGAACTGCCTTCCATAAGGATCTTCAATTCGGTTAACAAAAAATTAAACTAACGAACTTCTTCTGAACCGACCTCAACATGTTTCGCTTTGGCCGGGCAACCAGGTTTAGTATCAGTCGCCAATACATTAATGGTTCTAGAGGCTTAAATTCACTTACTATTTTGTAAATATCAAAGAAGTTTATACTATTCAATAATTTTAAAAGTTTAATATTCAATTTTTTAGTCATTTTAACAATTGAACAAAATTGAGTAAGTGACTAGTTTAATGCGCGGCATCCAGCCTCTTAACACAGCAAACAGGCGTCAGTCTCTCTCTGTTTTTCACTGGAGTAACATCTTGCTTGAGACTCTCTTCAACTAAACGCTTTTTCTGTGTTTCCAAGCAAATTATTGGTCATTTTGAAATATATTTTATATATTGACAATATATAATGCAGTGCAGCGTTGATTTAAAGAAAATAATCTTGAATTAAACCAGAGAGCTAAAATTTTATGGGTGAAATGGCACCATGGGTGACTTCTCTTCCACCCAATGCCTTCTCTTCTTCCTTCTCCTCCACCCCATTCTAAATCCATCATCATCATCATCATCCAGGAGCCCATACCATACACCTCAAAGTAAGTGAACTTTTCTACCATTTTTGTTGAATTTAGGAAATTTTGATTGAGCCAGAACCAATTACCCAAAACCCATTGAAACAATGGTTTTGGGTTAACGTTCGGTTATGACGACCTTCTGGAGCAGTTGAGTTCGTTAACCGAGGGCCACTGTATATATATATATATATATATATATATATATATATATATGTACTGCAAAACTGTAATGTATTGCATATAACTATACTGTACTGTATATACTGTACTGTACTGTATATACTATACTATACTGCATATACTGTACTGTACTGTGTATATACTGTACTGTATGTATATACTGTACTGTATATACTGTACTGTACTGTATATACTGTGCTGTACTGTATATACTGTACTCTAACTGTACTGTGTGCATATACTGTACTGTACTGTATATATGCTATGCCATACTGTATATACTATGTGTATTGTATATAGTCAGCTGTACTGTATATACTTGCTGTACTGTATATGCTGTGCTATTACTATATACTATACTATTACTGTATATATATACTGTACTGTGTATATCTACTGTGCTGCATATGCTGTACTATACTATTATGTGCTGTGCTATGCTGTATGTTCTGTGCTGTGCTGTGCTGTGTATGCTGTGCTGTGTTATATACTGCACTGTATGACTGTGCTGTGTGTGTATGCTGTGTGTACTGTATGCTGTGCTGTGCCATACTGTATGCTGTGTGTGTGTGTCTTGTGCTATACTGTATACACTGCACTGTACTGTATATGCTGTGCTGTGCTGTATATGCTGTATACTGTACTGTGCTGTACTGCATATGCTGTGTGCTGTGCTGTACTGTATATACTGTGCTGTGCTGTATATACTGTGCTGTGTGTATATACTGTGCTATGCTGTATATGCTGTACTGTACTGCATGTCTGTACTGTGCTCTACTGTGTATGCTGTGCTGTGCTATATGTCTGTGCTGTGCTGTATATGCTGCTGTATATATATGCTGTGCTATGCTGTGTATATGCTGTGCTGTGCTACATATGCTGTGCTGTGCTGTATAACTGTACTTGCTGTATATACTGTACTACATTAATATACTGTACTGTATATGCTGTGCTGTACTGTATATGCTGTGCTGTGCTGTATACGTGCTGTGCATGCATATGCTGTATACTGTGCTCTCATACTGTATATGTACTGTGCTGTGCTGTATATGCTGTGCTGTGCTGTATATACTGTGCTGTGCTGTGTATATACTGTGCTGTACTGTATATACTGTACTGTACTGTATATACTGTGTATATTATTATATGCTACTGTACTCTATATACTGTACTGTACTGTATACAGTGCTGTGACTGTATATACTGTGCTGTGCTGTATATACTGTACTGTGCTATGTGCTGTATAATGTACTGTATATACTGTACTGCATATACTGTGCTGTACTGCATATACTGTGCCTGTACTGTATATGCTGTGCTGTACTGTATATACTGTGCTGTATAGACTGCACTGTGTGCATATACTGTACTGTACTGTATTATGCTGTGCTGTACCA